ATATGTACTATGCTTCCTTTGAATGCGGAGTGTTTTTTTTATATATATAATCTTTGTGCCTTTTTATGTATATAAGTTTCAAGACTGATCAGTCTCTGTACCTATCATGTTTGTTATAGATTCAAGCAATTAAGATGATGGTGCGATGGTTGTTAGGAATGAAGAATAACCACAGTAAATCTGGGAACTCGACATTACGACTTCTCACAGCAATATTGCACACTGATGGTGATTTAACAGAACATGGAAAATTAAGGTAATTGAGCAATTTTCTGAATGCTTTTGGTAGCAACAGAGCTATCTCTTACCAGTGTACCAAGCATAACCTCTTTTTCTATACTATGCATGGTTTTGGCAAGTTTATGTAGATAATACTATATAAAAATTAATAAATGTATGGAAAATTCTTGTCATATCCAGTTAAGCAAATCCAAATAATGCCAATCATTTTTTCTCACTGTTTTAGATACTCCAGTCTTTGGGCATTTTCCTCTCCTGGAAGCTTAAATTTGCATTAATGTCCCTCTAGTTCTACTGCTATGCAATTGAACGCATGTGTTATCTAATTGTTGTAAGGATTGCTTGCAAAATTAATCCTTTATAGGAAAATTTATATTTTAAACATATCCTAAACAACATAATCAATACAGTTCATATGTCACCATTACAATACCAACTCATTCCAAACTGGGAGATTATTTGTTGACTAGGAGTCGTCACATAACATTCTTGGCCAAGAATCAACCTCTTCTTTAGCATATCCACTCAAACCAGAAGTACCACAGTAATTTTAAAACAATCAGACAGTGCCAGGGTAGTCCAGGCACCATAACTTAGAGTATACCTTTTAAGAAGTCATTACTTCAACATATTACAAACACATTTTTGTCAGGCATAGTTAGTAATGTTATACTATTAATCTGCATGTATTGGAACAGATTATGACAGATTTTCCAGACCTTTGCATGTAGATAGGGACCAGATTCTATTTCTTTTAAATAGATCTCCTCTGTGGAGATTAAAGTTTATTTTAATCACCTTTTCCTACCACGCCACATCTACATCTCCTGGATGGCTGAGATGGATCTTGATGATGTCCGCCAATCCAATGCTTTCCTGTATGGAAATATAGGGAGGAATATGCAAAACGTTACACCTTTATTTGCTTTTTGTACATTTGCTTGTTCTTAAATTAAGTGCTCTGCTCAGTTGTCTCTTCTAGATAATATTTTTAACATTGGTCTGTGAAGCCAGAGCAAATTTTATTAATTTATTTTTTTGTTTCAGATCTAATACATTAGAACCAAGGGTTTGTGCACAGATACACAATTCCTGAATGGACAGTTATTAAATTTGCCAATATCTTTACGTTAATTCCTGTAGCCATAAATCTGCTTCGTTTTTATTCCAGTAAACCGGATATGTCACGTCTGAGGCTTGCTGCAGGGAGTGCGATCGTAAAATTAGCACAGGAACCATGTTACCATGAAATAATCACGTTAGAACAATATCAGCTCTGTGCATTGGTTGTCAATGTAAGTTTTTTTTTTGCCTTAAGGTATTTTTTTTTAGTATAGACTCAAATGCTTTGGTTATTAAATGTTTAGAGTTTTTCATAAAGTGAAATTGGGATCTTAAAGGTTCCCTGTATACACCAAGTTACAAGTAACCGAATATTTAAGTTGAAAGTAAAATCCAAAATAAAATATGATTACAATTTAAATGTATATTTTTTGCACAGTGCAGCAGGCTGTGTAAAATGATACATACAATAAGTTATGGTTTGAATAAATGTGTTGATATTGGTTCATTGAGACTCTAGGGTTTTTTGTAGCCTGCAGTTACAAGGAGACTCCAAATGCAGTAACCAGCTTATTGAAATAATTACAGTGCTTGAAAACATGTCTGAAAATGTCTTTTAAATGATCACAATTCTTCGAGATATAGACATAGGCCTCCCCTTTTTTTAAAATGTGTTATAGGGATATTTAGCTTCCCTGTTGAGTCATCCAAATATTTACACAAAGTACAACTTCTTGTAGGATCATGCACACATGTAGGATGTGTGAATGCTTGTGATTTGCTTATCTGAATCTTTCCCCATCACAGGCACGGCCATCTTCCCCTGGCTGGTCCTCTTCAACTCCTGATGCTTCACCGTCAGGTGCCGACAGTCACTGCTGTACTCTCGCGCTTGCCTGAGTACAGCATTGAGATCTATAAAGGATCCTACAAAACCACGGGATACTCCGTAGACAGCCAACTCCATGTGGCTGTCGCGATTGACCCTGTAGCTTTGCCCAGTGTCAAAGCTGTGGAAATATACATAGACAAAGTAGTCCTAATTTCAACATAGTCAAAATGATTATTTCATAAAGATTCTATGTGGCAATGCCGATTTTAAGTAGTTCACCATATGCCTGGAAATGGATATTTGGAAGATAACAATTTTGCCCATCTATTACGTAATTTGAGTGGAGTACCTTTATATCTTCTGGTTTGCCATATATGCCGGGGTAGGTTATCAAAATTACTCTGTATAATTAGGTACTCGAAAAAGTTTTAACCAAGGGGACAAGATCTACAGGTAACTTTCTATGTTCCCTGGAGCTGACCATTGTCTCTCTTCATTGCAGCATAAAACATCAACTCTTTGCACCCATTGCTCCACTGAGGGGTCCTAATTCTGTTTCCAAAATTGTCAGATCATGATGCTTGCAGTACCCAAGAGCATCAATAATAGTATCTTTCTGGGAGACTCTTTAAAAACCGCAGCTATGCCAGTAGGGCATGAGATGGTAAAAGTGTGGGAAGTAGGCAACATTTTCTGGACTAACTCAATAACTGCCTGCCAAAAGGATTGTATCCTTGAGCAATACCACCACATGGTGCCCTTACCAGCAGAACATCTCCAGCATTGGTCGCTGTTAGGATTACCTCCTTTCTGCATGCAGTATACCTGTGTCATGTGGGTACCATACTCTTATTGAGTACTAGCATAGAAGGGAATAATCTTATGGCCCATAAACTCCCGGTCACTAGGGGTGAGTTGAATATGGAAGGCTGCTCATAGGCTCCCAAAAAAGAAGGGTAAAAGTAGAAAGATTTCTGTAGTATATTTTGACAGAGATCTTTTCTCTTGTTGTAATGTGGCGCGCCACATCTGTAATGGAGTCAGGTGCCTTTTAGTCCTTCACAGGAGCACTTTGGACCAGCTGTAGGGTTCCAAATGTGCAACCGGCATACCAGCCGTCACATGGGAAATAAGTGGAACTCTCCCATTCACCAGCACAGGAGGGACCACTTAGAAGTTATCTCCAAAACATTTTTGTAACTATGGAACTGTCGCCATTTCCAGGATATTGCTCCTGTGGAAGTTGACTACCATCTGTTCCTCTGAGGTTGTGAGGTGGAGGTGAATAATGATCTCTTGCAGGTACATCCTCTGATGCAAATATGGTGTGCTTTGCATTTTTGCGGTTCACTATCAGAGTGAATGGGTGTCCCTATCTACATTTGAGATTCTTTGAGTGGAGGGCGTGCGTAATAGATATAAGGGTTCTGCAGCCCTAGAGCTTGGTCCAGGACAGATCCTGGAAAATTTGAGCATCGATGGATGGGAGGACTGTTCTGGCCACTGTGAGAATATCCCACATGTCAGCATAGTAATGAAGGTGGCAGATGATGTTGTGTTTTGGTGGTCGTTTTTATTTTTATTTTTATTTTTTTATAATTCTGTGTATGCAAATCTAACCTATAAGATTGTCTGCAGGTTTGTGCGCTATGTAAAAATAATGCCCGGATCAGAACTTTTGGATAGCCTCTGGTTATGAGGTTGTTTTGCCTGTCCCTGTTATCCAAGTGTCTATGGTGTTGGCTTTAGCCCGGCTGATCTCTTTGGGCACCCCTAGCCTCAGAATCTCAACGTTTATTGCCCATTAACTGATCATTCTTGCCTGCAATTTGCTCTAGTTCTTGCAGTGATGGAGGAACTTCACAAACTTACTTCCATCCACCAGTGCTGCTTAGCCACTACTGCATCTATTTTAACATTCACTTTACAAAGCAAATCTAATACATTTTATTTACTTAAACTATTAGTGAGGTAGCTTTCAAGCATTCTGGTTCTATAATTCAGGACTTCCATCCCTCTGAGATAAGTCAAATCTGTTCCATTCTAGTTTAATAACTTCTGTACCCCAGGTCTCACTTGAAAGAAAATAACAAATTTAATTAAAAGTTTAAAATAAAAATATAATCACACATAATATTGTATGTGTGGCTAAAGTTGACTAGTGAAGTACTGCTGCTTCTTCACTCAATACAAGGATTCTCTTTTAGTGATGTTTGGCACCATCTGTATCCCATTTCCCCCCCCCTTAACATTTTCTGCGCTTTACATTTTTGGGTTGTGTTGATCGCTTGTTTTGCTTTCTAAAACAGGATGAGTGTTACCAGGTCAGGCAGTTATTTGCACAAAAACTCCACAAAGGACTGGCCAGATTGCGACTTCCGCTTGAATACATGGCCATCTGTGCACTGTGTGCCAAAGATCCAGTAAAAGAAAGGCGAGCACATGCCAGACAGTGCCTTGTCAAAAACATCAACGTCAGAAGAGAGTACCTGAAACAGCATGCTGCAGTAAGTGGTAAGTAGGGATGATCAGATCTATCCCATTTTTCTGCTGTTCAAACTTACATTCAATGCCATTAACACGCAGATTCATTCAGACACTGTTGTTTCCACCTTTAATTGCTTAGAAGGATGCTGTCTGCAACAGGATTGTACTACAAAATACCTCAGCAGTTAACTGCTTTATTGTAACAGAAGTTGCAATTCCATGCAAAATAGTTTATTTTTTTAGTTTTTTCTTGTTCTTTTGATTAATTTGCAGTGGTTTTATTACTTTTAATATTAGAATCTGAAAGGGAAAATTGGGGGGGGGAAAAGGGAAAGTAAAGTACAAGCAAAATATCTGTACACTAAACAGCTGGTCATCTTTAAACGTCAACTCAATCTACCTGGTTTACTTCAGATTCTAAGTTTATTATTTTTTCTTTTTCTTTCTGTATCCCCGTTTACTGTACCTAACATGAAAACCTTAATAAAAAAAAAAAAATTGAATCTGAAGTAAACCAGGTAGATTGAGTTGACGTTTAAAGGTGACCAGCTGTTTAGTTTACAGCAATCATTTTGCTTGTACTTTACTTTTCAGAGGGTGTAAATTATCTTATGGTGATAACTCCTGGAGGTGTGAATTTACTCTATTTTTTTGTGTTTAGTTCTAAAATTCCTAATCTATAGTTGTTGTTGTATTCATCTTCTTAATGTATAAGAAGATAATTATTCTTTATTTTAATCTTCATTTTTTTTTCCCGTCCTCTAGAGAAACTACTTTCTATTCTGCCAGAATATGTTGTTCCTTATACAATCCATTTGCTTGCACATGACCCAGATTATGTCAAAGTACAAGATATAGAACAACTGAAAGACATAAAGGAGTAAGTATTTTCTCTTTTTACCATAATTTTGCTTCTCTCTCCTCCGCCTTCGATTGTTACAATAATGTTGTTGACATACTAAAAAAGCAGGTAAACCTAATATCAATAAAACATACAATACTTGGGCTGTGTGTGTTTATTGGACAAAAATCCCATACTTATTTCTAATGCAGCTATTTTCTTTAATCAGGTCTATAGAAAGTTAACTAGATGAAAGACTCTGTGTGATAAAATATATCAATTTGGTGCTTATATCAAATATATATTCTTTTTGCCACTGTAATGAAATGTGTATGTCCTTTCAGTGTATGAAGCAGAGGTTTGTCATAGTTGACATGGCTTCAAATGTAAAGCATTTCCATGCACATGAATGTGCCATTTGAGTTAAGATTCAGCCATTTAGAAAATTGAGATCTTAAATGTGTACATATATTTTTAGTGTAAATTAAAAATCTGATAATAGCCACAAATTCTGAGAAATAGATATTTGCAGTAGAATGCAGTAGAATGCATTAGAACCAGATTATTTTATATGATTTGATAGTCACACAACCTGTGAAATATTTTGGACTTAAAGGACCACTATAGTTACTCGTTTTCCTGGCACTATAGTGCCCTGAGGGTGCCCCCACCCTCAGGGACCCCCTCCCACCCGGCTCTGGAAAGGGGAAAAGGGGGAAAACTTACCTTTTTCCAGCACTGGGCGGGGAGCTCTCCTCCTCCTCCTCTCCGCCTCCGATCCGCCCCGTCAGCTGAATGCTCACGCGCGGCAAGAGCTGCGCTCGCATTCAGCCGGTCGCATAGGAAAGCATTATCAATGCTTTCCTATGGACGCTGGCGTGCTCTCACTGTGATTTTCACAGTGAGAAGCACGCAAGCGCCTCTAGCGGCTGTCAGTGAGACAGCCGCTAGAAGCTTTGGGGGAAGGCTTAACCCATTGATAAACATAGCAGTTTCTCTGAAACTATGTTTATAAAACAATGGGTTAACCCTAGCTGGACCTGGCACCCAGACCACTTCATTAAGCTGAAGTGGTCTGGGTGCCTAGAGTGGTCCTTTAACATCATCTTGTATTCTAAATGAAGACACACATTCACTCACTACCTGTAACCCATAGGGACCTCTATTCTCATCTACCCAAATTGACCATGACTTTAATATTTGGTCGCTACAGCGATTACATAAATAATCCTATATGAACATCCAAATAACTGTTCCAAAAGTGTTCGTCCCCAACCATGGGATTAAAGTACTACCGTCACTTCCCAGGATTATTATGGTTTCTAACCATACCGTATTTAGATCCTAACCTAGAACCTAGCTTCTATCCTTCCTGTCAGTCAGTACCCGAAGTTCAACTCAATGAGGCTAGAGAAAGTGGGCGAAAATTTAAAATGTTTGCTTAAGGGTTACTCCAACAACCGCAAAAATAGATGTAAAAAAATGTTCCAGGCTGGCAACTGACTCCACACATTGGCAGCAAAGTGGTTAAAATTGTCTATGCGCAGTGTTTCATAGTGAAAGTATGCACAGACTCCAGTTATCATGACCACTTTAAATAACTGAAGTGGACATGGTACGTGGAGTAAGCCTTTAATGATATTTGTTTCTCCTCCTCTAATACAATGTAAATTTAAACTAAAATGGGGTACAATTAACAGCTTTCCTTTAAACCTGGACAAGTATCTTCGTTCTCTTGTCTATTTTAGTATGGGCAGCAATTGATATTTTTATTTCATTTCCATCCATGAATTTTGCTTTTTAGATAACGCAGACAATTCAAACAATGCTTGTTTTTTCTCTTGCCGTACAATCTGAATTCACTGGACGACTTACTTTCGTAATAGGTGCCTCTGGTTCATTCTGGAGATTTTAATGTCAAAAAATGAAAATAACAGTCATGCATTTATCAGAAAAATGGTGGAAAATATTAAGCAAACAAAAGATGCACAATCACCAGATGACCCCAAGATAAATGAGGTATGGACAGTGATAATTTGTATTGCTTTCTTATACAACTTTTAAGATCTTGGTCTATAAATATGTACATTTGTGCACTATTTTGCTTGATTTATATGTTTGCTTTGCAGTTGATGACTAAAAAACAACTTTACTTTGTCAGCATTTGGGCCAGCAGAACAGTCACAAGTTGACATGCGGGATGCATGTTTTGGCCCATGTTTATTTGTGAAAAACATTATCGAACTTGGAGGGTTAACCTATCATATATTTTGCGCTGAATGTTGAATTGTTTGACAGCATTCTTGTGGTTTACTGATGCATGGCTGGATAACTAAAAGTGAAAAAGTTAGCTATTGGTTGACAAAAATTATTTTTAAAATTTCTTAAGCATTTCTTTTATTTTAACGTTCATCCTTTATGAGGAAAATTCATTAACGCTTCCAGTGTCTCATGAATGATGCATGCTCCTGTGTGGCACTACTGGAGAAAATGCAGACTGCACATGTATGGCATACTTCTCTGTTAGATGCTCATGGGCATACTGGGATTGTTAATACAATCATGATACACTTGGCAGCTATGGTTTATTGTGTATATACAGCACACAGTTATGGATTGTTTATAGTTATGGATAGTTTTTTATTTGGATTATGCTTGATTTAATTTTTTTTTATGTTTTTTTTTTTCTTACACAGAAACTATACACAGTGTGTGATATTGCGATGAATATAATTATATCCAAGAGTACTACTTACAGTTTAGAGTCGCCAAAGGATCCAGTCTTACCAGCACGTTACTTTACACAGCCTGATAAGGTATGTTCATATACAGTTATACTACAATTAAAATATTTTAATAATTCAATGATGGGAGCACTCCAGCTCTTTCACAGTGTTCAGCCACAGCCCGGTGATGACATTACCATCACCGGGCATTCACTCTGACAGTTGGAGACCCCTGCGGAAGGTGAGCAGCACTTGTGCTGTTTATGCTGCCCAGCACTGATCACTGTAGGTAATGGCGGTGATAGCTTGTCGCAATATGATTTAACAGCAGAGAGTAAATTAATCCATTTCATGCTGTGAGTGCAGAGCTCTCTGCACTGTAAGGGAATCCTAAAATCAGCAGAAGGAATCCCTCTAACACAATATTTAGTGTTAGGGGTTGGGGCTAGTTAGTGTTCATGTTTAGGGTTAGATTTATAGTAAGGGTTATGGTAAAGATTAGCATTAGGGTTGGCAACAGACCCATCTCCACTTATTTAAAAAATAAACCGCAATCTACATTGAGCAAATTTGTCCCTGTAAACTTTGCAAAAGTGTACATGTGAATATTGCTGTACTCCGATGTAGGAGAGAACAGTTCAAGGATTTTTTTTTTTTACAGTAGCACACATGATTTTAAAAATACACTGCAGAAATACAATGTATGTGGTAAAAAAAATACCAGAAACTTGAAAGAAAATGGTGAAAAAAAATTGTACTTTAAGTAAAGCTTAAAATACATTCTGTGATACTAATTTTCCAAACAGTATGCATTTATGGAGTCCTTTAAATGTGCTAAAATGCAGCAATCCTGAGTGCCTGGTCCAAATTTATTTTATCTACTAAAATGCACCTTAGACCAATTTTTGCAAGTTATTAATTCAGCCACATATTTTCACAAGAACTTTACAAAGGATTGGCGAGGGATCATTTTGTACTCAGGAGATATAGCTAAGCATAATTTTTTTTTTTTTTATAAAAGTACACATAGTTTACAAAATCGCTAAGTTACTATGTGCCATAATCTATCCAAAGAAATTTGTAAAAATAAAATAAAAAAGGCAGTACAATAAGGCTTAACATATTACCAAATTGGTATTCATATAGGAACAATTTGAACTGTACTCCAAAATGAGCAACAGACCATCAAATATATCTATCATTTATAACTGTAAAAACAGTAATTTTTCTTACATGGCACTGTAACATCACAAGATAGTGCCAAAGGCACACATTAGGCATATTGTTTTACTCAGAGCAGTAAACTGAGCAACATTTAGGGTGTGCAATCATAGTAGCATGTCTCCAATATACATAATGCAACACGGACCAGCTGGTTGGAGCAATTGTAACATCGCTGCCTGGGAACCCCAAGTTTGAATCTCGATAAAGACACCTTTTGATATATCTGCCTACATCAAATCATCATAGATGGTAAGGCCGTTAGAGCAGGGCCCTCTAGACTTCTTGCTGTTTATATAATTGTAAAACGCTGCGGAATATATGGGTACTACATAAAAGCTAATAGTAATTTGGTGGGGGCGGACCGACAGACTTTGACATAAAATGGCATCACAAATGGCCTTTTGCAGTCCATCGATCTGCATTCTTTATGTAAAAAACCCAAATGGTCTGGGCTTTTATATATGATACAGGCAAAGACTTGTACTCAGATGATAATGCTGCACACAATATGGGGTTATGTACGTTGTTAGTACACATCCGGTTTAAGAAATACACATTAAAAAACATTGCTAAAATTTTTAGCATTTGTTGGCTGTTAAATTACCACGTAAAAAGTGTCAAAATACTCTTATGTTGTCTACTTCATATAAATATATACTTAAAGATGAAAGGTTATCACGTCCTAATGTATGTAACACATTTAATTTTATCTTCTTAGAATTTCAGCAACACCAAAAATTATCTTCCAGCAGAAATGAAAGCATTTTTCACTCCGGGAAAGGTATGTGGCGTTTACTGATTTATTTTGGTTGGCACAATGCTGACTGATAGAGTGAATGCAGTTTTTCACTAGTTCTTCAATGCAATTTTAGAACGGTTTACTTTCAACATAGTTACATCAGCTGTCTAGAGAACCATTAGACATGCTAAAATTGAATGGAAAGCCTCCCGAATTAAGTTATTACTCTATAATAACTTTGGGCTTCTGTGGCACATAGGTGTCAGTCTCTACACCGCTTCAATAGAATGCTTCTCCTAAACTAGCATGGAGTCCATTGCTTCTCTATGAGAAACCCTCACTTTTGCATTGAGGTAGAGTACAAGTCTGACAGCCAAGAAGATGCAGCATAGGGTGACTATTTATAAAAATGGTGATTTCTCTTTTATTACTTTTATAAAATAAGAGCGTGCATTTAGATGGTTAAAGAATTACGGTAAAGGTTAGCATTTGCGCGCTGAAGTGCTTCATGGGTCGGGAGAGTTCATTTAGCTATAACTGCATAGCACATTCACAAGACAGGTCAAGTTTCAATATTTGTTTCTGCTTTTATATATTGCTCTGTAGTTAATTGCATTGTCACTCCTCATAACAACAGATACTATTTATTTCAGCCGAAATCAGCAAATGTTCTTGGAGCTGTCAACAAGCCATTATCATCAGCAGGAAAGCAGATGCAGACAAAATCTTCTAGAATGGAGACTGTAAGCAATGCCAGCAGCGGATCCAATCCAAGCTCCCCGGGAAGAATTAAAGGAAGGTGTGTGTGTTGGTGCATTTTAGCTTTTTGTGCTTTTTCATCCACAAGGTGAAACGTTCATAATCCATAGATCTCTTTGCTAGTTTGTGTGCTTTAAAACATTAATGCTATTATTTAATCTGAGCTGTATGTGCTTACATGTAAAGTTCTTCAGGAACAGAGGCTATTTGAAGAAATCAACTGTATTCACTATATTGTTGGAATACAGTTCTTGTTAAAACATTTTGTTGCTTTTTTGTTTTCTTTATACAGTCCTTTTTGTCAATAGTTAAACCAGTCTTTTTTTTTTTTTCACATTTTGTTGGACATGTAAAGATGCATTTTTAAACTAGTGTCCGTGTGCAGGTGATTTGAAGTGATATGGTATTCAGAAGGTGGTGTTATATTGTGCAAGCCTTCTGTATACCGCAGTACAAATTAATTTATGTAAGAAAAGGCACTTCTATACTCTCATGTCACTGTGTGTGTGTGTGTGTGTGTGTGTGTGTATGTGTATGTATATATATATATATATATAGTGCGTATATTATAGCTAATACAATGTTAAACAAAAATCTGCACACCAGTCAAGCCATAAGGCTTGCTTTTCCCACAGGAATCACAAATTGGCAGTAATGTTACCACCGCAAAGGATTCTGATTGGGCATATGCAAATTAGTTTAACAAAGAATCACATTTTTGCCTCATTCCATTTTAAACATGGATTCCTTTGAGTCTGTTTTCGCTTTATAACCGCTTTGAAACACAACTTAGGAAAAGATACAAAGCCAGTAGATATAGATCTCGTGTTGATAGAAAACAATTTTGTGGAATTTAAACGGGTTATTCTAGTGGCAATGGATTTTATTTTAACTTTTTAGCCACTTCCCAGACAATGAAGTGGCTACACCGGTCTAGAAGCAATCATTCTGCTCTATAAGTACAGCCCTCCGATGCAGTTCCACTCATCAGATTTGATGAGTGGAAGGGTTAAATAATCTGTTGCTGGTTTTAGAACAAGCCCAGCTCAGCTACTTTTGTGCTCCAATGCTACTGGCAGCATCCCTGGTTTGTGAGCTTCCATCAGTAGCTCATCATTTACAAATCTGCTTCAGAAATACCTCCCCATTTACGAAACGGCTTGAGAATAAATACCTCCCCGTTCACAAAACGGCTTGAGAATAAAAACCTCCCCATTCACAAAACGGCTTGAGTAATGTACATACTTTTGTTTTGTGAATTAGGGGGCTACTGATAGGCTAAGTGTCAGCATCTCTTAATGTTTCAAGCTGTGGGCCGCAGAGGATATTTGTGGGAAGCGCTAACGTGCTTTGGATTGTAGACTTTGAAGTTGAAAGGTTTATTAACAATTGAACTCCTTTAGTCCGGGGACCTCCTCACACCATAACAACTTAATTTTTTATTAAGTTGTTATGGCGCACTTCGTTCCTTTACTATACAAACAACTTGGTAATTTAAACTTGTTACTGCAATAATACTTTTTTAAAAATTAAACCTCCATGGCACCATCAGTAATCTGACAGTCACACATACGCAAAAGCAAAACTACTGAAATGGGCACTCGAACTCAGAACAGCATAAAAAAATGAGCACCCAAATTTATACAAAGGATTCCAGATGAATATTTTAAAAGGGGGAAAAAAAACTATCACTTAAATGTTTCTGCATTGTTTTATGAGGGGTTGCCTGTGTATTTTGCAAGTTCTTATTTCTCCATTTCAAAGTGTTTACTTTTCCTCTAGAGAGTATATGGTGTATTTATTTATTTATTGGTGTTTATAGATGTCTCTATATATCAGCTACAATTAATATTATATATAATATATAATGTTTGATATTTTCTCTTTAAAGGCTTGAAAGTGTGGAATTGGATCCGAGTGAAAATGATGATTACACCATGATGTCATCACCTTTGTCTGGAAAGAAAGGCGATAAAAGAGATGACTCTGATATTCTGAGGGTAGGAGTTACTGTTTTAAGCTTTGATATCTTAAAGGATTAGTGTTAGGAATTCAAAACTGCCCCTGACTAGTTACAGCCATTAGAGGCTGTCTTAGCTCAGCAATGTAAAAATTGCAGTTTATCTAGAACGGCAATGTTTTGCATTGCAGGGTTAAGGTCACAGGGAGATTGCACCCAAACCACTTCAGTGAGATGAAACTGTCTGGGTGCCTATCGTGTCTTTTTAAGTTTTATGATGAGGTTTGCACAAAGTGGCCATGTTTGATCAACAATTATATTTTTCATTTGTGTAACAAACATTTTCTTCAGATCATTTTTGCTATTACAAAGGGAGGGAACATGTTCTGTACATATCAGTTTGGTCCCATCTTTCAGTTTTTATTAAACATTATCTGTCCGTTCTCATAAAATTAACATTCCGCACCACCTATGGAGGGTAATTATATTAAGAAACATCTGATCCTTTAACATAACTTTTTGTAACAGATTCGGACCAAGTGTATCATGGTTCAAATGTAATTAGTGCTCATTTATTCTTAAATTGCTGCATTTTTCTTTATGTATAGACTGACCTTGAAAAACCCAAAGGGCGCAAGAAACAGTCTCTGATTGATCAAGAGGATAATATAAGCATAGAAGAATTGTCAAAATCGGTTCAGGAACCAAAATCCAGGGGAGGACGAGGAAAGAAAAGAGTTGCAGCTGTCTTGGAGTCAGATGATCAACAGTGGCCTGACAAACGATTAAAGGAGGACTTGCTTGAAAATGAGGATGAGCAAAACAGTCCGCCCAAAAAAGCAAGAAGGGGACGACCTCCAAAGTCTGCAAAAGGCATCGCGGCAAAAGAAGAACTAGCTGCAAAAACGCCGAAAAGAGGTAGGAAAAAAGCACCTGCTGTAGATAGTCCCCCTGAAGAAGAGGATGAACCACTTGAAATGAGTGAAGAACCTGAAGTTGAAACTGTAGAACCTAAAAGGAGAGGAAGAGGAGCAGCAAAAACCCCAAAGAAAACCCCACAAAAGTATGTGTCCATTTTTGTTTCTTTTACACAACCAATACATTTTTTTTTTCCCCTCTTCTCTCTCTTTTGGTGCCATCTGTATATACCTGTTATATTCAATTTGGCTTGTTGTTGGAGTGTGTGTTTGTTTTTTATTTTAAATTTTTTTTATTCCCTTAACCCCTTCACGGCCGATGACTGTTCAGGACCATCATCGGAAAAATCCCCTTGAGGACCGGTGACAGCCCAGTGTGTGTGTGTGTGTGTGTGTGTGTGTATGTGTATATATATATATTTTGTATTATGTATTTTTGTATATATAATATATGTATCTTATATAAATGTCAAAGTGCATTTTTATATTAATATAAGAATGCACTTATGATGAAATTACACACGTGTGTGTGTGTGTGTGTGTATATATATATATATATATATATATATATATATATATATATATATATATATATATATATATATATATACACATATATATACACACATACACACACACACGTGTGTAATTTCATCATAAGTGCATTCTTATATTAATATAAAAATGCACTTTGACATTTATATAAGACTATATATATATATATATATATATATATATATATATATATATATATATATATATGTGTGTGTGTATATATATATATATATATATAT